CAAGCGTTCTTACATAGTACTTAGAAATAATATTTTAATAATAATAATAATAATAATAATAATAATAATAATAATAATAATAATAATAGCGGTTTCAGCATTTATTAGGCCATAGGCTTGTCGCCGATTCTTAACATCGCAGAATATTCACAGCATTTTGAGGTCTCGAACTCGCAACACACTGCTACAATTCTGCTGTGCTTAACCGCCCAGCCTCCTTGCCGAGTCTGACCAGAAACTGGCGCACAGAGCTGGGATCGAACCCGCGCCTATCTGCGCCAATATCTTGGTACTCTGAACTTTAACCACTGGGTCACCCTGCCCCACCACTGGGCCAATAATGATCTCTTCTACATTATTATATGCCATCAAATATCAATAAATATCTGTATTGTAAAATGTTGGATTGTAAAAACAATCAAAAATATCTGTAATAGGGTTCGCTGCCGCGCTTACGCTGACCCCACGATGCCGGATGAGACGGGGGAAAGTATACGAGCATCCGGGAACTGCCCAGAGCTACGGGCGGTCCGAGTTTCAGGGCTTGCGGCCGGCTGATGAAGTCATCTGCTGCGAACGTGAGAGTTTAACTATTTTTATATTATTAACTTTAATCTTAACGCGTTGACTCCGAAGTGGTACATATGAGTACCACGAAGTGTATTTCTCCAGGACGTAGTGGTACATAATTCAGGGTTACCAGATGGCTTAAAAACGGCCAAGTAAACGAACAAAAAAGGCCAAAAGCTTTAATTTAAAATTTAAAAATTTAAAAATTAATTAATTTTAAATTTATTTATTTTAAAATTTAAAATTTTTAATTTAAAGCTTACTTAAAGCTTTAATCTTAATTAAGTTCAATGAAATTGAGAGCTGGGCAACGCACTCAAAACTTTAATTTCAAGTTCAATGAACGTGAGAGCTAGATTGTGCACTCGAAAATTAAATTCTAAGTTCAATAAACGAGCTGAACTTTGCAACAAAAACTTTAATTTGAAGTTCAATAAACGTGAGAGCAAATGCGAGAGCGGATAGTGCAATCAAAACGTTAATTTTAATTTCAACGAACGTGAGAGCTGGACTGCGCTGTGTGCGCTCCAAAAAAATTAATTCGTAAGCTATATGGCGAGTGTAAATTCTAGGTTATGAGACCATATTGTAAATTATCCAGAGGATCATCTTATCATAATTCTTAAAACTGTGCAGTATTCTTGTTTTTAGATATTCAATTGCATTTGTTCGATTCGACTTTTACCGTCTATTGTAATGCTCTTCACAAATAGTTGTTTCAACTCCATTCAGAGACGGCTTGATATTTTGGTCACATCAGCGTTAATAATATCACATTTATTTACATTTTTTTGCTAATAACTTAGTGTTTGTACGGAAAATCTTTTTTTCTTACTCCACGTTGTTGCTAGATCCTGTTTTATAATCTTCCCATGGCAGCATAAATTTAAGAAGCTACATTCCTTTCACAGTTTTCAGTGTAAGTTAGTTATGATCCATAACGTGGCCCTCTATTTAGATGCCTTTATAAATGATTCTTGAACTTTGGTCACTAGGGAGCTGCAGTTGCGGTTATTTCGAGAAATTTAACCACTAGTGAGCTGTAGTCGCGCATGTTTCAAGAACTCTGACCACTAGTGAGCTTCAGTCGTGTATGTGTCAAGAACTTTGACCAATAGTGACTACAGTCGGGCATGTTTCAAGTACTCTAATCACTAGTGAGCTGCAGACGTGTATGGTTCAAGAACTCCAACCACTAGTAAACTGCAGTAGTGTATGTTTCAAGAACTCTAACCGCTAGTGAGCTACAATCGTGTATATGTTTCAATTAGAACTCTGGTAACTAGTGAGCTGCAGTCGTGTATGTTTCAAGAACTCTGACCAATAGTGAGCAAAAGTTGTGTATGTTTCAAAAACTCGGGGCACTAGTGAGCTGCAATCGTGTATGTTTCAAGAACTCTGGTCACTTGTGAGCTGCAGACGTGTATGCTTCAAGAACACCAACCACTAGTAAGCTGCAGTTAGAATAGAATAGAAGTGTCGGCGTTGAAGAAATAGGCCCATGGCCTGTTGCCGATTCTTGAATTTTTCGTGACTTGATTCACAAGGGATCCGGCCTTTGGAACCCGATCTTTCCATAGCTGACGATTGATTGAGATAGCTACTGGACTTATTGCCTGGTCCGTAATTTGCTAGGCATTTTAAGACTGAACATATGTGGGAGGCTGTTCCACATGTCGGTGACTCAAAGCGAGAAGAAATGTTGTCGCATGGATGTGTTCCAACGCTGTTTTTTAGTTTATAGCCGTGGCCCCTGGTGTTGGTTCTTGTTTCAAATTCCACTTGTGTATATTTTAAGAACTCTAACCACTAGTGAGCTGCAGTCGTGTCTGATTCACGAACTCTGTCCTCTAGTGAGCTGAATTTGTGTATGTTTCAAGAACTCTGACCACTAGTCAGCTACATTCGTGTATATTTCAAGAACTCTGACCACTAGTAAACTGCAGTCGTGTATGTTTCAAGAACTCTGGTCACTTGTGAGCTGCAGACGTGTATGCTTCAAGAACTCCAACCACTTAGTAAGCTGCAGTTGTGTATATTTTAAGAACTCTAACCACTAGTGAGCTGCAGTCGTGTCTGATTCAAGAACTCTGTCCTCTAGTGAGCTAAAGCTGTGTATGTTTCAAGAACTCGGACCACTAGTGAGCTACATTCGTGTATATTTCAAGAACTCTGACCACTAGTAAATTGCAGTCGTGTATGTTTCTAGAACCCTGACCAATAGTAAGCTACAGTCGTGTAAGTATCAAGAACTGTGACCAATAGTGAGCTAGAGTCGTGCATGTTTCAAGAACTTTGGTCACTAGTGAGCTACAGTCGTGTATGTTTCAAGAACTCTGGTCACTTGTGAGCTAAAGTCGTGTATGTTTCAAGAATTCTGCCTACTAGTGAGCTAAAATCGTGCATGTTTCAAGAACTCTGACCACTAGTGAGCTAAAGTCGTGTATGTTACCAGATCTTCAACCACTAGAGAGCTGCAGTCGTGTATTTTCAAGAACTCTGACCCATAGTGAGCTTTAGTCGTAAAGCAATGTCAGTACATGGCACATACTGTACATGTATCTGTTCACATATATTTCAAAATCAACGTTTTACGCGTGTTTAATCTGAGTTTGTATATAATTATCATATAAGTGAACTGGCACTTCAAGGCTGCAAATTTTTGTCTAAGAAAAGCGACATCACCGTGAATTTCTATCGCGTTCCGCTAACCGGGGTTTGTAGCGCCACGTTGGTGCCGCAGCAGCGCCGTTCACTGCCGCTGATGTTTAGACAGCCACGGCTGTGACGTCCATTAAATTCAGACTTTCTTCTTCGCAAACGGCAATCCTGCTCAATCACACATTTCCTTTTAACTGAAAAGTACCAACTTGTTGGTAGTGGTGAGCTTTGTTATTATTCTCTGATTTGCGTCCATTCTCTTGCCTGTTAAAGATAATCATTTTTTATCAATTTCACAGTCTTCATTTGGAATTTGGAGATGTGGGTTCATATATTAGTGGTATCTGTTGAAATTTTGCGATGTCCTACTATTATTATTTGCGATATTATCCTAATAATAAACTCTGAAGCTTTCAAATGAATTACTGTTGCTACCAGTCCATTTTGCAAGCATAGTCTATGTCACCCCAAAGGTCAATGCCACCCCCCTTTGCCACCCTTAGACGGTTTGGTCAATCGATTAAAGCGCGCTTCAATCAACCTCTTTCAGGGCTTCAATCTTTTGATCAAAGCTTCTCTCACATCAGAAATGGGATCTGTTCATACTTGTTGTTCGTTCGTTACTGGGAGTTTTTCGAGCTGCTGTGATGATTTTGATGGTGAGCGATGGTTCTTAATATTGATTTGGCCTTCTTCTTCATTAAAATATACGCATCTTTCCAACAATCAAACTTTCAATAAATCACTATCAAGTCTCGCGTCAAGCGTCGAACGGGTTCATACACGGCTAATCACGCTCAACTAAATTAATTAACTCAAGCATTTGGTCAAGCCACTTGATCGCTTAGAATAGAAGTGTCGGCGCTGAAGAAATAGGCCCATGGCCTGTTGCCGATTCTTGAACTTTTCGTGACTTGATTCACAAGGGATCCGGCCTTTGGAACCCGATCTTTCCATAGCTGACGACGATTGATTGAGATAGCTGCTGGACTTAGAGGCTGCTTAGGAAGGTTTCTGATCAGCGAACAATACATTGGCCCACTGAAACAGTCATTGTGGGTTTCTTATAAAAATGAGACCTGGGAACCACAACAACAACAACAACTGACACAGTCAGTCGCACCACATATTGGCCAACTGACAGTCAGTCGTACCACATTCATCCGCAGCTTTTACAAAAAATCTGAAAATGCCTTTAGAATTGCCGGCTATATTGAAAATGTAGAACTGTGTGAATTCTTAATTATATATGGTATGGATCAATTAACTTCCATTTCAAATTTTCCTAAGAAATTAGTAAATAATTTTTTACCCTCTCGGTTATAGTGGAAACATTGAAATGTAGACTTGATACACTCGAAATAATAAGGTCAATTTGGCTAATGTCAGAACAATAACCGCACATGCATTGAAAAGTGAAGGTACAAAAGTGACGTTCAAATGAATCTTTGTGAGCCATAGCACCCGCAGATTGAGAGCTCATCTAGTTAGGAGCAATAGCGCTTGTTAACGGAAAAGCAAACTTTCTTTGTACCTAAAAAAGTATAATTAGTCCAGCATCCAATAGGGTGCATGAAATTGCAGAAACATTTATGGCTCCCTAGAAACTCATTATCTGTGAATGGACCAATGCTGCTTTCACAGTTATTAGAGGAACAGCAATCCGTTATCGTCGTTAATTACAATTGAGGACAATAACGCCTGTTATCCTGTATTAACCGAGGTATATAAGAGGGCCTTTTCGCAGCTGTCACAGCAAAAGAGTTTTGTGTTCGTGCTCCTGTGGACATATTTCGTGAGGTCTCTTTGTTAGGTGTTTTGTGTGGAGACATCGTTATTCCCAGCATCGAATTGAAGGTATAAGCTTGTGGAGGAGTTTCTATCAAAAATATTTTGCTAGTTGTTTACAGAGTTATCTTTAAACTCGTATTCTAAAGCCTTGACTGAATGCCTTGACTTAAATTCTATCATTGAAATAGACATGCTAAAAAATTATCATTATATTTCATAACATCACGATATCGCTTTACTGAAAAATTTTCTTCCGTTCATGGTTGCATAAATATAAGATGATGTAATAAGGGAAATGATGATGATGATGTAATGAACAAATAACTCATCAACAGAACACGTTGCATAACCAAACACATAAAATATATGGTTAATGTTTGATATATAGTCTTTAATGCTTTAATAGGAGCGTACTGCGAACATATTGAAATATTGAATTTGAAGCAGCATACGAGCTTGCAATCCATGAATTCATTGATTCACTTCGTTGAAGTTGATTTTTAAAAATTCGTCGGTGATCAAACTCAAATGATCGATGAGCATTATCGCCATTGGTTGAAAACTAATTAATATCTACGAATATATATTAGAAGGCTGAAGTGGTTGATTGTTAATCTACAGAAAAAAATTATTTACTGCAGCTGTCTGAAATATTTCAAGCTTAAATTTATTTGATTTATTGCACGGTCGTTGTGAATTAAATTTCGAGGTCCTGAAACTCGGGTTACCTACTTTCGTAAACACGCGTCATCCTCGTGACACATAATCATCACAAATATATGTCACACTCTTGATAAATGTCCATCGCGAATGTATGTCACAGTAGTGACACATATTAATCACGCTCGTTCCACATGTGTCACACGCTAATGACATATCCATAACAAAAACACATCACACTCGTGACACATAAGCTTCACTCACATTCATGACACATACGCATCACACTCGTGACACATAATCATCACAAATACACGTCACACTAGCGACACACACGCATCACACTCGTGACACATAATCATCACAAATACACGTCACACTAGCGACACATACGCATCTCACTCGTGACACATAATCATCACAAATACACGTCACACTAGCGACACACACGCATCACACTCGTGACACATAATCATCACAAATACACGTCACACTAGCGACACATACGCATCTCACTCGTGACACATAATCAGCACAAATACACGTCACACTAGCGACACATACGCATCACACTCGCAACGCATATTCATCACAAATACACGCCACACTGGTGACACATTCTCATCACAAATGCACATCACATCCTTGACCACAGGATGAGGATCGTATTCGTGACCGTGGTGGTGGTGGTGGTGGTGGTGTGCGGCGTCGCTGCTGGAGACGTCGATGATAACGACGTTCATTCTTCAGCTCGCGAGCCCCGGAGTGAGTTGCCTTGCGAATAAACCCTATAAAATATTACTATTTACCTAATCGCTGGGGTAGAATAACCAGGTTAATATAATAGAATTCGAGTTTCAAAACCCCTTCGAGTGATCACCTCTGGGAATTAAGTTCCTATAATTTAATTCTATCAGATAAAAACACAAAATATATTAATTTCTGCACATATTTAATACTCTAAAAACTTACAGCGGGCGGTATCATCAAGTCGATGCTGCCGTACTTCAACCTGAAGATAAAGAACCCCTTCGAGTGCCGCCCCGGCACCCGGATCAACGGCTACCCCGTACTGGGCACATGCATGTCGCAGTACGACTGTACCGCCCTCAGGGGCAGGATAGACGGCACATGCGCTAGTGGATATGGCTCGTGCTGTATACGTGAGTTATGCTCCTACAGGACAGTCTTTGCTAAATGATATTATTATACCTATCTTTGCTGTAATAATGAAATATTATTAAAGCAATCACTACCATAATAATGTTCTTTAGTATAATAATAATATAATATCATTGTAGCAATTTTTGCTATAAAAATATTGTTCATTATAATAATAATATATCATTATTTCAATCTTTGCCATAATAATATGATATCGACATAATTTCAAAGAAGTTCACTATTTGAGATCAAATTAATCCGAATTCTAAAATAATTATAATTTATCAAGATGTAATTTAGATACGTTAATATTTAACAATCGATCACTGCAGGCGATACTGAATATTTCATCTGCAACTACAATCCAAAAATTGAACTCAATTTTCCTCATAACTGAAAAAGCGATAGGAGATGATTTTTTAGAGGAATTCCTGATCTTCTAATGAAAAAAATCAAATAAAATGGGAAACATTTCCTGGTTTTTTAATCATTGAATAAAATAACTGAAATCTTATTAATAACACCATCGTATTTATGGCTGACAATTACGATGCTTCATACGAATAAAGTGGTCAATCAAGTGTAATTAAATATACATGACTTATTACTTAAATAATGACTTATTACTTGACTTACATGACTTATTACTTAAATGGATAATTCCAATGTTATTAAAGTCACGTAATTACTTGCAGTGGAGGCAGGCTGTGGTGACACCGTCGAGCGCAACAGGACATACATCATCAACAACGGCACCACGAGTGGTACCTGCACCTACACCATAGCGCCTGTGAGGACATCACTTGCCTGATAGAATAGAATAGAATAGAATAGAATAGAATAGAATAGAATAGAATAGAATAGAATAGAATAGAACAGAATAGAATAGAATAGAAGTCTCGGCACGGAAGAAATAGGCCCATGGCCTGTTGCCGATTCTTGAATTTTTCGTGACTTGATTCACAAGGGATCCGGCCTTTGGAACCCGATCTTTCCATAACTGACGGTTGATTGAGATAGCTGCTGGTCTTATTGCCTGGTCCGTAATTTGCTAAGCATTTTAACACTGAACATATGCTCCTGCATAGCTTCGTCTAGTCTCTTCTTGAAGATGTTCATACTCGGAGCGTCACTTGCCTGATAAATTATCAACTACACTCACAGAAATCAGTGAGGCTTTGTCCGAATAACGATGCACTTTTTGCGCTTGTTTGGGTCATTCTGACCCAGTTGGGTTACGTGCAGAAAGCGTGTCGCTATGTGGATAACTAGACCAATTTTTTCTGAATGTAATAAATTTTTAGGGGTAAAGCTCTTTTTACTGTGACTAGTTATAAATTTTGATTTATCTAACTGAAAAATGCTCATAAAAGAAATTTTAATAAGAGGATCAGATTGCTCATCATTGTGTGTCAAAGGGTTTTGATCCCATTTTTTTTATAATGGCTAACTAGCTAGCATGCATATGGAGACACTCCATGTACCAGCCCATGAAAAATGGTCATCAAACTTAAATCTCAAAAATTCCAAAGCAAAATAAATATTAAACAATTGAGATATAATTCACAATAGCACCTCCAATAACAATATGATCTTTTTGCAGATGAAGATAGATTACAAGGTGAAAAATTCGGTGTCGGAAGCGGTCGGCGCGTGTCAAGTTCGTTTGGATTTCGAGACCTTCTCTTTATCGCAACCCGACCAAGGCACCACAACCCCCAACAACGCGAGTGTCTGCAATATCGACTCCTTTGAAGTGACCGGAAACACAAACGCATTTGGGAAAATTTGTGGGGAAAATCAAGGGCAGCATAGTAAGTAAAATTATTCATCTCTTTTGTACATTTGAACTGGTCAACGAGATCCAAAAATACATGCACTCGTGTTTAGCCCAATTTCATAATTTATTTATTGATTTTATTGTTAGTTTATTTCATTTCATAATCTAACTTCTTAAATACTTTCTCACACTTTTCTGAACACTATGGCATGTCATTATTAATTATATAATTTTCTCAGTTTACCTGCCGATCGACTCTAAAGCGGGCACCGTGGCTACGATCACAGTCGTCATGAGCGGAGCCACAACCACCGCTGTTAACAGGAGCTGGCGTATACGGACCACATACATTCCCTGCCTCTCCAACATGACGGGTGAGAAACATTCCCTGTCTCTCCAACATGACGGGTGAGAAACATTCCCTGTCTCTCCAACATGACGGGTGAGAAACATTGCCTGTCTCTCCAACATGACGGGTGACATGCGACTGATTTACTTTGCCGGCATATTAGCAAGTATTGAATTTTCCAGTTTAGATGCAGTTTAGCAAGGTGTTGCTCAAAAGTAAAAATTAGGTTTATTAACTAATTAATAAATCTCAACACAGAACTAATTAATCTTGTCTAAATATGACTGACATGTTTTATAAACACACGCTTTATAGGCCCAACTTGCCAAGTACGCACCGGCTAGAATCAGCTTATACATTGCATGCTGGTTAACAAGCTTAATAGTCATGTACGAGTTGTTTCAAACGAAAGAATTTTAAAGTTTTGAAATAGACAAGCAATTAATCTCGAACAATTCTGGAGGCTATTTTAGTTAAAATTGAAAGCCAGGGTTTTTCAGTCCGGTTTACTCAGCGTCAAGGAAATTTGACTACAGCTCCTCTGTTGAATCCACGATATGAGGTTTTCAATAAATATGTTTTTAGTATTTATACCAAGATAACAAGTTAGTCTAGCAAGACAACTTTCTCCAACCTTTGTTCAATTTTTTCCCAACGTTTTTCCGATATTTGTCAGAGATTTGTCCAAATTTCGCCCGGCAACTTCCAAGTTTTGTCAGAATCCGTGGACCCCGGGATGAAAAATCCCCGTAATTTGATAGCCCTGATGTTTACAAATGTCTTCATCACAAGATTTATTGATAACGGAAAAGATTTGACACTTTGAACATTAAATATCTTGTTGCTTATTTTAATTAGGTACCTCGTTTGAGCGCTACTGACGTTTCATTATCTTATATTCGTATTCAACTCGAATTATTAGTCGTCATATTTTGTTTGCTTTAGTGCCGTTTTTTCACGCTATGAAATAATAATCGCAATAACTATTGGTGAGCAGCTCCTCCCGGGTGCCTGCAATACTTCACCGACGCCTCAGGCACGGTGAACTCCTTCAACTTGTTGGTGAGTGATCACTGCAGTTATTCTGTTCTAATTGTAGCATGTCACAATCATTACCTGGCACAATCGTGTGTGACCATTCTTTGTTATATTACCTTTACAGTTGACCGAAATTGTATTATAATAGATTGTATCGATATTCGTAGAACTGGGCAATAACAATAACTGCATACATCTCATACTAATTGCTCCGTCCATCTTCTGTCCCAGCCCCAAATATTCCTGCAGGTCATCCATATGATGAGCATTGTAATGAAGCAAGCATTTCGGGCACATAAGAGATAATTTCAATGCGGTCGCAAAGGCTGACATTTGTTATAACAACGCTCATTCTAACAAAAGTATGACACATGTACTACAAATATGCGAGTCGAAATTTTGCGCTCCTTTGACTGCAATTAAAATCTATAACAATTATCTGACTATATCTCCTCTTTTCAGCCCGCAAGCTCGACAACCCTGTCGCAGATTGGAAACCTGAAATACAGCATTTGCTTCAATAATCAACCAAACTCTTGCGGGATGTCGTTCTCTTCCACTCGCTTCCTGCTCACAGGGGCACCGAATGGTGAGCAGTTGCGGTGCTTAATATTTTACCCGAGATCGACGACACACATGCAACTCTTGCTCACAAACAAATGCACTTATGATGACTTTCTTGTATGTTCACGGTAGGCACATTTGCGCGCATCCATTTCCTGATCGCATATGATCTGCTTCAGTGCCCATGTCATGTGTATATGGGTAGCCTACTTCAGTGTCCGTGTCGGGTGTGAAGGTAGCCTACTTCAGTGTTCATGTTGGGTGTGTAGGTAGCCTACTTCAGTGTCCTTGTCGGGTGTGAAGGTAGCCTACTTCTGTGTTCATGTTGGGTGTGTAGGTAGCCTACTTCAGTGTCCGTGTCGGGTGTGAAGGTAGCCTACTTCTGTGTCCGTGTCGGGTGTGAAGGTAGCCTACTTCAGTGTCCGTGTCGGGTGTGAAGGTAGCCTACTTCTGTTTCCGTGTCGGGTGTGAAGGTAGCCTACTTCTGTGTCCGTGTCGGGTGTGAAGGTAGCCTACTTCTGTCTCCGTGTCCGGTGTGTATAGGTAGCCTACTTCAGTGTTCGTATCAAACGTGTGGGAGTTATTCCTTCCGAATCTCGTGCTGGTCACCGAATCTCAACGTTCTCTCAGTAATTAAGTTCGTGCAATAGAAACACAATACCCACCTCAATCTCTAGCATAATAAATAATAATTATACATAGTTGACCTTAACTAGCAGTAAAAGAATTTAGTTTTATCTGACAAAAATCGCTTTTTCAGCATGCACGTATAAATAATTATTTCGAAATGGCTCATTGGTCTATCAACTCATCTTCGTCTTCTTCATGTATTACGCCTTAACATGAGTAATTTACACATTACAATTATATATAGAGTTATTTGTGCGTAACATGTCTGCAAAAATCATAACAGTCAAAACACGAATTATGTTTGCGCAACATTCACTTACACATGCTAAAAAGTCTTGTGCGACATAAATTCATATCAGATCCAACCATATAAAAGTTGATAAATTGAGACGATAAAATCCTTCTGAAGTGTTGACAAAACTCCATCCGGTACAGGCAGCGACATTTGTGAGAAATGATTCTTTTTCTTACAAATATTTTGAAATATCTGCAACGTCTTGTCAAAATAAAATCAGTACTATAAGAATTAAGACATTAACGCAGGTTTGCCAACGACAGCTAAGATACTGGCAGCCGCTCCTGACCGCCTTATTCATTTAACTTCTAATTAATTCGGATGGAATATACAGAATTTCAATAAAATAATCTCTGAAACATTGCTGACCTCTCCCGTAACAGGCGCCGCAACGACAGGGCCAGCATCGTCGTGTGCGGAGGACTACATCGCCACCACCGTCGTCGACAGGACTGGGGTGGCCTCCACCACCTCGGGGAGCTTCTTCTGCGGTGGCGCTCTCACTCCCTTCACTAGTAAGTCCCCACGCATGTGGCAGGCTTAGTCACTACTAATTTTTAGGCGACTTTGAGCCCCACTCATCCTTTTTTTCATATGGTAGGTTTAGTCACTACTTAGGCGACTAGATATATTTCGGGGGCAAGGTTTCCAAACGTAAGTCTCTATTTAAACACGATTACAATAATTTTATTTAAATTTTAAAATGGTGCGTGGTTGCTGGTCTGGCTACGATCTCCTAATATATTTTTTCATGTGCGGTGAGGTGATAATAAGTAAATAATCATCATGATTGTTTGGCAAAAGACATAATCATATCTGGGACTTCCGCGTTATTCGAACTCATATTCAATCGTTTCGTTTCAGCCTACGCTCAGCCCACAGTAATCTTCGTTCGAACGGACGGTCAAGAAACCAGCCCTACGGATAAGAACTATGGATTTGCCTTATCCTACTCCCGGGCCGGGTGCTAAGAGCCAATGCTGCAAAACTCCTTCTCGTGTTTTTTTAATAGCCCAGGCAAAATTCCTTCTCGTTGCATTTATTTTCGAAGACAATTCAGTCAGCTGCTCTTTTAGGCGAAAAAAAAAAATTCGAGCTAGTCGTGTGCGCTCATGCCTTGCTGCCAAAAAAAAATTTGAGGCTTACATCTCTAAGGGAATCTTTTTCTCATGAAGAGCAGTCATGATGACAGGCAATGACGCTTGCAAAAAAGACGAGTCAGAGATTCAAAGATATAAATTATTTATTTATTGGTTTCAAAGATATAATTTATTTATTTACTGGTAATACTTACTTTCCTTACTTATATTATCAATTCCACCTCAAACATTCATTAGATTAAAAATAATCGAATCTGGTTTTTAAAAGACTTGAGAAGCTGTTTGAAAAGCTGAAGCGAGATAATTATTGCAAAGGAAAATTTGAATTGCCTAAAGAATACAGAAGTCGTCATCAAAAAATCAAATTAGAAAAAAATCATACATGTTTGTACCATTTACAAGAAGCAGTCAAAATTTCAAGCTAGTGTAAATACTGATTGAGAAACAGACGATAGAACAACAATGCCGAACGATTATTCTTTACTTGAATTATAAAATTAATGGGCAAGGTGGCCCAGTGAGTACAAATCAGATTACCAATCAAGATTGTAGCCACGAGTTGTGGGTTCTATCCCAGCTTTCTGCAACAGTTGTGTTAGAAATAAGCAAGGTACCCGAATGGTCGAGAACAGCAAGATTTGAGCAGCAAGCTGCGGGTTCGAAACACCAACAAGCTGTAAAAATTCTGTAATGCCTAAAATCGGTAGAATAACAGAATTACACTATTCAACGCTGACAAGATTATTAAATAGTTATTTCTTTATTTCTAAATAGTTATTTCTCTACTTGAATAGAGAAAAACAATAAGAAGATTGTCAATAAGAAATACTCTCTTGTATTCAATGAAACCTGCATTAAAGAACAGCTTCTGCCAAACTACACAAATGTTCGAACATACATAATTAATAAATATATCTGAGTAAACCTGTCAAAATTTCGAAAACTAGACGTGATAGAAAAAAAAAACAATTTTGAAATCAGCAGCAAAAAAGGTTTCCATCCCACACAAAATGATCTCGGAACAATTGTCTCTGTTGACCAGTGTTATCTGCAGGCTCAATTGCATTCCACAGAATTACAAACTTGAATAGGGAGGAGGGATGCATGTTCAGCAGTGAGCCAGGATTATATTTAACTTCTATTATACAAGGCATATAGTAAAACACACTCACAATACAGGGGCCATGCGGCACCCGTGGTCACATTTGGCGGTATGCGGAAGCGAAATCAGTTCCGATTTAGCAGCACCTTGATTATGGCCGTATTGCTCAATCTTTTCAGCAAGGTTACAGCCCTGCTTCAGTATAGCAATATTATACTTCCTCCACTAGATTTATGAGAGTGCACATATTCGTTGTAAGTTGGGCAACGAAAAACTTAGGTTCTGGAATTTCAGTGGTGTATTATCGAGTACTAATATATCACATTAGTACTCGATATCTCGATTCAAATATATCACATTAATGTGATATATTCTGAATAAATGATATTCATTCTGAATAAATGCAAACAAATAATTTCTCAAAAATATTATTCGACATCAGACGCGTTTTAACCAAAAATCATTACCACACCGGTTCAACAAATTACTTTCAGTGAGCTGGCAACACAAGCCTACAACTCTACACTCAACGACCTTAGTGGTCAGGATGATACGAGATATTTTATGGCTTGCTCATTAGCCTGACTTGATCAAATTAGAGAATTGGCTGTACATTAGGCTAAATTAATCAATTCATTAATTAAATAATAATTTTCATCAAGAGCTAATTGTTCAAAAACTTCTAAAGGATGACAAGTGAGAAGTCCGAATGAAGTATTTTTATTCATAAAATATTTCATATATTGTTAATATACATAACAGTTATTCATTTTCCCCACTGCGGGAGATAGGTGGGTAAACAAGAACTTAAATATTTCTTAAATAAATCAATAGGCTATAAAACTTCTATGAAAAAGAAGATAAAATAATAAATCCATCTTCATTCACGCCCACACAAATAAACTTTGATACCAGTCTTAATAATATAAATATTAATATATTATAAATCATTATAATAAAAAAATTTACTGGAACTATAAGAGGAAAATCGCCTCGACGCAAAAAACTCTTGCAATTATCTACATATTCGAAACAATGGTATATTCAATTAGGTCGATCACTTTTTAATCCTCAGCTCAATCTGGTCGAACGAATATCTTCCACTGAAATGGCATTTAATGAATGAAGAAAAAATCTAATTTTTATCGAACACAAAAATAGTTTTCATTTTATAAAGACAAATGTAAGGATAACAGGAGAGCACAATAACGCAATGATTGTGGGAATGTATTAAACGATTAAAATGAAGGAAGATTTTGAACGTGATCAATTAGTTCGCAACAAGTAAAACAAAAATTTCTTAACAAAATACACACTAAGCAATGACCATTTGATGGTGTCTAATCCTCCTACATTTCACAAAGGAAACTGGAGAAATCCTTGGCTAGCTCACCACTATATCCTCAGCCACATAAAATAAATGCATTTAGAACATTGCTCCTTTTGCACAGGTGTACCAATGTTTACTTAAAATTACGCTGAAAAGTATAGTGCAGTAACAAAATTTATAAAAATTTTAATTGAAACTTGAACATTTTTAATTGTATTATGGACAGAGCTGTCCGACTAATATCATGAAAAAATGAAACTAATGCAGTCTTCATTAAATACATCAAAATAAAGTAGCAGTAAAGTCTCACTTTGCAACGAAACAGAGACTGGAAACATTTGATTTCAATCTTAAATACAAATAAATTAAATTCTAGTAACAGATGAAAGTCGAATAGTTTCCCAGTCAAAGCTACAGTTACACTTACAGCTCAGTACGTTCAAAAAATATCGTACAAATCTCTCCTCTTCAACACGTATGTATTGGAATGAGTACTTGTGTAGCCAAGAGGTGATAAGAAAATTTTTCTAAAATACCCAACAAAATTGACACGAAAGCTCTAAAATCTATGGACATCTTTCTTTTGTTTTCAGACTGTACCAAGTGAAACATTTGACCTTCAGAAAAGCCTTAATCGTCCATGATTATGGCTTCACTTCAGCCCATGTCGCCATCCAAGCAGGCAATGTCAGGTTGAACCAACAAACATAGCAGCGTTGAGATAACGTAGAATATTAGTCTACAATGAAAAGTGAATCAATGTCATTTTTTCAAAGTCGCATATTACGACGTTGTTTAAATTTTGGAATTGCGTGAGTTATCTGACATTCATGATAGAACAGGTTACCCTGATGAAACCTATTTAATAAATGCACTTTTAACGTCAGAATTCAACACGATTTCTACATTGAAACAACGTCGAAATGTACGACGTTGAAAAAATTATGTTGATTTGCTTTTCATTCTGGACTAATAATCTACGCTATTTTAACGTCGCAAAGTGCGTTGTTTCAACGTTGATTCAACCTGACATTCTTGCCAGGAAGACTCTCTAGGAAAGATTCAAGTATTCTTCTTTTGGACAAAAATTCTACATAACCGTCCAGTCTTTTATCACTAATGTTTCCCCCGTCAATGAAATCATGAATGCTCACGGCAAGATAGAAGAATCCACAAATCCAAAGCTTGTCAACACACTCACTGAATTCTTGAAACGTGCATGGACTAGCCACGTTTTCTCTCGACAAGACGTCATTGAAACTTGACCAATACTGCTTCAAAATTTCTTCAAGATTAGTGTCTAGGACAACAGGGTCGGTACTCATGAAGAACTGTCCCTGCAAGTCAATGACCGGATTTCCCACAGCACAAAACTGCCAGTCAATCAAGCAAACACTTTCGCGATTTGAGGAAAAAAGACTTTGTCCCGCCCATAGATCCCCGTGGATGATCGTGTCAAACAAAGGATATCTAGCTGTATAAATGTACATTTCATTCGTCAGTTCAATCAGTTGTGAAAAGACATTAGCTATTGGTTTACCAGCATACCTTGAGGCTAAATATTTTAGATTAGTTTTCAGGATCTCGTCGTAAAATTTTTTGTCAACGCTCTGGAGATCGGGAAAGCTGCCATTTTCAATGCGGTAGAGAACACCTGCCGCATGAACCACGGCAGCTGATCGCACAATTGCCACAGTCTGCTGCAGGTCACTTCCATCTCTGACGATCACAGGCTCATAGTTGTAGTCTCTCAGGTCTTCCATTACCAATGTAACGCTTGACTCATTCACAGCTGAATAATATATTTTAGGAATTAAGTGGCAAATTGGAGAGGCAGTTAATACCCTTTGGAAGACTTCAGAAACACTGAACTCATAAAATTTAACTTCTCTTTCAGCTAAATAGCCTTCCTTAATGAAATTGGAAAAATTACAATAATGTATATTTCATAGATATTACTACCAAGACAACTTCATTAATTTTCTATTATAAATTCTGATTCAAACATGACATTCATGATTCAACCAACAGAATAATTAGAAAAAATTAATAACATTTTCTTACAGCTCATGAACTCATGGCTTGGAATTAATGTTCAGAGCACACAATATTGCTACCAAGAAATTTTCATTAATTTTCTTCCATAAATTCTCCACTGAACATGACACTCAACAAATGGAACAATTAAAAATAAATGGACTCACCACTTGAAAACTGAACTCATTGCTCGGAAATTGTTCTCACAGCTGCAAATTTGATGAAATTACTGCTTACATTGTCAGTTTGTCAGAGTAAACATAGTCATTCTGAATGTACAATGCAAAGGAAATTAATGAATAAAAATTTATCCTATGTACATCAAAATATAAGCCTAGAGCCCTAGACCAATATGGAATTTTGAACAGAATTTTCCAAAAAATAATGGTGAAATTAAAAAAAAATACTTTTTTTAAATGATGTTGGATAAGTAAACTCATGGCTTGAATTGGCAATGAAAAGTAGATGCATAGCTGTTGCCAGAAATACTCAATCTTCAAAGTTTAAAGGTAAAGATTTATTACAAAGATTAGTTGTAAAAACATGGGATGAGATAGGTACATATTTAACCCTCTGGTCTACTTGCCTAGTGCTGCGGCCTGACATGAGTTACCCCAAAGCCACTGTGCAGAAAGTGGGTGAATATTTGAAAGATATTTGGTGACGCATATGTGGCAAAATTTGCACCTTCTGAAGATCTTGCCAACACATTTGGATTAAAATTATTGCATAAGAGAAATAACTTTGAAATTACTGAAAATCTGAATGACTGCAAGTGCAAACAGTAAGGTTTCTGGTATGTCGGATCAGCCTATCAGGATGCAGTGAAGCTTGCTGGAAATCAGTTACGATGTGTGTATGTGTTGCGGTGAGTGGATAGTAAGGGATATACTACCTATCAAAGTTGATTGCAGCACTTATTAAAAATTACCCGGCGATGAGTCTTGAAAATGGCTGGCAATGCTTTGGGCTAAAAACCATATCTTGGCAACGGTGCTTGCACCCTCTGCACCCTGGTTCCAGAGCAATATTGTCACAAGTTCACAACTCACAAGCAACAAGCCTACTTTCCAAATGTTTACCTTCTATTGAGCACAAAAGTACTTGCACTGCTCACTGATGGTTGCTGCCATGTGCAATAACTTTAAAATGTTCTTTGTTGTGTCAAATGTACTCAGGTAGTCAGGTTGTTACACTCAATAGTTTCGTGGTATGTATGACAGGAAACGGCCATGCACACGCCAGGAAAACTTCCGATTGAATTACTATGGAGCATAGTGAGGACTTGGGAGTGGAAGGTATGGTTTTGATCATATGCATATTTAATAACACTTTAAGATCATGGCTTCTTCTGAAGCACAAACTTAATATGACTGTTCTTCGATATACTGGTTGTTGTTGTTGTTGTTGTTTCTTGCGCCAAAAACGTCACGCTCGCGTGGGCGGAGGCTCTGGTGGTGGTCGGAGGGGAGGCGCCGGAAGAGGGGGAAGATGGGCGAAAGCAGGGAGGGTGACCAGGAACGTCGCCGCCTCCACGGGGTTGTCCCACAAAGATGAGACGCTTAGGGACGTGGGGAAGGCGGGGCAGGCGAAGAGGTGCTGGACGGATTGGAGGGGATCCCCGCACTCCGGGCAAGCGGCGCTAAGGGAGCGTCCAACCCTGTGGGTGTAGGACGCAAGGGAGCTGCAGTATCCCGAGCGTAGCTGGGATAGCGCTGAGCGGTAAGGACGAGGGAGCAAAGCCTCTTCTGCAGCAATCGGTGGTGGTGGGGTTGAAAGGATAGCGTTGCTACCGGCCGTCGCGGCAACACGGGCGGCTATCTCCCCTCAGAGTGAGCGTTTTGCTTCTCCGTAGGCACCGCCGGGCATCCTGTCGTCAGTCAGGAAAGGCGCCACAAGGTGGCCGAATCTTGTCCTGACTGAAGCCTTCATGGGGCGGTCTCCGGGGGAGCGGAGACGATGCTAAAAGAAGCACGAGTAGGCTGGAGGGCGCTGGCTAGAAATTGCGCACAGGCCAGGTCCAGGTGGGCGGACAGGGGGAGGACGCCGGTCTCACAGTGGAGATGGGCGATTGGGGCCATCTTGAGGCAGCCGGTGGCTAGTCTCAAGGCTGAGTTTTGGATGATTTGGAGACTTGCAATTGCGGTGCGTGAGGCCTGTCTCTTATACACATCTGTCAAGAAACCAGCCCTACGGATAAGAACTATGGATTTGCCTTATCCTACTCCCGGGCCGGGTGCTAAGAGTCAATGCTGCAAAACTCCTTCTCGTGTTTTTTTAATAGCCCAGGCAAAATTCCTTCTCGTTGCATTTATTTTCGAAGACAATTCAGTCAGCTGCTCTTTTAGGCNAGTTAAACTGGAGGACGCAGAGGCGGGTGGAGGAAAGCACGGGGGGAGGCCGGGGGGGCGAAGGGGGGCGGGGTCTGGGTGGGCTCGGGTCGGGCCGTCTGCACGTAGGGCAGATCCAGTCCGCGGAGTAGTGGTGAATGGAGCGAAGGCCAGAGCACCGCTTGTGGCACCAGGCGATGCACATGGAGCACCGAAACGAGTAGTGCTGCCATGTAACCGGGAGGGAGCAGACTGAGCAGGGGTCCGGTCCAGGGTTGGGATGGATACCCTGGGTCAGGAGAAGAAGGACGAATAGGAAGAAAAGGCGAGAGGAGAGAAGGGCATAGGGCGTCCCTGGAGAGAAAGGCGGCCAAAGGTGTGGGTAGGGGGAAGGGGAGGCTGAGGTTCCCCTGCCCTTAGAGGAAAAGATGAAGGAGCCTCCGTCCGGTAGCGATCCGGGCGGGGGGGCCTCTGCCGTTTGGCCCCGCCCGCGAGTAAGTCGGGCATCCGGCCGACGCGCAGGCCAGGGTACCCCCCCGACGAAGACGCGGCAGAGATCGGGGGCACGATATACTGGTCCCCGATATTAGTGTTTTACATATATACCTAACAAATTAATTATTTTTATTAGGTATTATGTTTACCTGTAAATTAGGTCCTAATATAGCCACAGACATCACAGACATATAATACTAGTAATATCTATCAACTTGTGGGGATTGTTTTACTGAAATACATAATTATGCATAAAAATATAATTAATCAATATATCTGAGTAAACACATCAAAATTTCAAAAACAAGATGTGATAGAGAGAAAAACAATTTTGAAATCAGCAGCAAAAATAGTTTCCATCCCACACAGAAAGATCTCGGAACAATTGTCTCTGTTGACCAGTGTTATCTGCAGGCTCAATGGCATTTCGCAGAATTACAAACTTGAATAGGGAGGAGGGATGCATGTTCAGCAGTGAGCCAGTATTAAATTTAACTTCTATTATACAAGGCATATAGTAAAAGACACTCACAATACAGGGGCCGTGCGCCACCCGTGGTCACATTTGGCGGTATGAGGGAGCAAAATCAATTCTGATTTAGCAGCACCTTGATTACAGCCGTATTGCTCAATCTTTTCAGCAATGTTACAGCCCTGCTTTAGTATAGCAATATTATACTTCCTTCACTAGATTTATAAGAGTGCACATTTGTAGTAAGTTAGACAAGGAAAAATTTTGGTTCTGGAATTTCAGGGGTGTGGTATCGAGTACTAGTATATCACATTAATGTATAGATTACAATATCATATGATTTTAATTATTGAATAAATGCAAACAAATATTATTCAACATCATACACCATTTAACCAAAAATCATTACCACACCGGTTCAACAAATTACTTTCAGTGAGCTGGCAACACAAGCCTGCAACTCTACACTCAATGACCTTAGTGGTCAGGATGATACGAGATATTTTATGGCTTGCTCATTAGCCTGACTTGATCTAATTAGAGAATTGGCTGTACATTGGGCTAAATTAATCAATTCATTAATTAAAGAATAATTTTCCTTGAGAGGTAATTCTTCAAAAGCTTTTGAAGGATGACAAGTCAGAAGTCCGAATAAAGTATTTATTCATAAAATACTTCATTTATTGTTAATATACATAAAAGTTACTCACTTTCCTCACTGCGGGTGATTGGTGGGAGAGCAAGATCTTAAATATTTGTTAAAAATCCATAGGCCATAAAATATTCATAAAAAATATACAACAAAAAATACATTTTCATTCATGCCCACACAAATGAACTTCGATACCAGTCTTAAAAAACTACATTATAATATAAATAATTTACTGGAACAATATGAGGAGACTTGCCTCAAAGCAACAAAATCTGGCAATTTTCTATATATATATATATTAGAAACAATGGTATTTAATTGAGTGTACCACTGTTTAATCTTCAGTTCAATCTAGTCAAAAGATATCTTCCACTGAAATGGCATTTAATGAATAACATTAAAATAAAGAAAAAATGTGATTTTCATCAAACAGAAAAATATTTTTCAATTTATGAAGACATATTTAGAGATAATAGGATGACGCAATGATTATGTGCATGTTTACTGAACGATTAAAATTAAAGAAGATTCTGGAAGTGATCAATAAGTTAAGTACGTATGTAACAGCAACCTGTAAAATAAAAATTTCTTAACAAAATACACACTAAATGATGATCATTTGATAGTGTCTAAACCTCCTACACTTCACGAGCAAAATGAGAAATCCTCAGTTGTCTCACCACAATCTCCTCCAACACACAAAAAATGCATTTAAAATATTGCTTCTTTTGCACAGGTGAACCAATGTGATGTTTACTTAAAATTGCGCTGAAAAGTAGTGAAGTACCGTCAACCGGGGCTACTCGGGACGGACGGGGTAAGTCGGGACAGTCCGACACTGCGTAAAACTGTTTTAGTAGCAAAACTAATTGGAATATTGCAGAACTTAATATAGTGGCGTAAATGTCAACGTTTTTCCTATCTATGTAGTATAAAGGAAGTACAAAAATACTAATTTACTAGCTTTGAAAAATTCCTGAAAAACATGTTGAAAAACGATATTTTGAAAAGTTACTTCTGCTAAGATCTGTAGTAAAAAAATATTTGTCTTATTAAAAAATTTTGCTTAGAAAAAAGTGGCAGACAAGTGTCAGCATGAAAACTTTATTTGGCAGAATTTACATACCTCAATCCAAAAAAAAATGGTGGCCATTTCGGCATGGCGGGGCTACTCGGGATACCACCCCGGGGCTATTTGGGACACCCCCCAAAATGCATTTAAAGTAGAACCTCAGTTAGCAAAGGCTCCAGTTATGAAAAAAAAATTGATTAAAAACAAAGAATATTGATTACATTTACCTTGCTCAGTGAAAAAATTTCACTTATTGAAAAATTAGTGCATCATCGGTCATCACAAAATTGTGCATAGAATGTCATATATAGAATTGTGCACCAGGCATCATAGAATGAAAAGTAATTGACCTAAACTATGATTTAAGATGTGTATAAGAGACAGGGCACGTGAGGCACACGACACAGGCACGTGAAGCACACGACACAGGCACGTGAGGCACACNAGCTGGATAAATGTACATTTCATTCGTCAGTTCAATCAGTTGTGAAAAGACATTAGCTATTGGTTTACCAGCGTATCTTGAGGCTAAATATTTTAGATTAGTTTTCAGGGTCTCATCATAAAATTTTTTGTCGACGCTCTGGAGATCGGGAAAGCTGCCATTTTCAATGCGGTAGAGAACGCCTGCCGCATGAACCACGGCAGCTGATCGCACAATTGCCACAGTCTGCTGCAGGTCACTTCCATCTCTGACGATCACAGGCTCATAGTTGTAGTCTCTCAGGTCTTCCATTACCAATGTAACGCTTGACTCATTCACAGCTGAATAATATATTTTAGGAATTAAGTGGCAAATTGGAGAGGCAGTTAATACCCTTTGGAAGACTTCAGAAACACTGAACTCATAAAATTTAACTTCTCTTTCAGCTAAATAGCCTTCCTTAATGAAATTGATAAGTTCTTTTTTTGAAGGAAGTAGCTTGACCACGAGATTAGTGCTCTCCTTAATTCCAGTTAGATAATAAGTAGTTTTGAGAAAAAAGATATCACTCAGAAATCCTTGAGTTTTGGAAGGTATATCAAGTTCATAGTTCTCCAAGAAAACACTTTGTCTGTGGTAGGAGGACAACATTTTTTCTAGCCATGATTTGGATAGATTATCAACAGATTGCAGGGGCTTGAGGTCCATGACTTGGCAATTTCTGCAAACTGGGTTAACTTGAATCACAAATAATGAATATGTCTTCTGAAACAAGTAAATAATTTTTTTATGAAAAATTATTAGAATTTATGGTTCCAAGAGTTTTTACTGACAGCTTTATCTCAGCTTATTAATTGGAAAAATTACAATAATGTATATTTCATAGATATTACTACCAAGACAACTTCATTAATTTTCTATTATAAATTCTGATTCAAACATGACATTCAATCAACAGAATAATTAGAAAAAATCAATAACATTTTCTTATAGCTCATGAACTCATGGCTTAGAATTAATGTTCAGAACACACAATATTGCTACCAAGAAATTTTCATTAATTTTCTCCCATAAATTCTCCACTGAACATGACACTCAATAAATTTAACAATTAACAATAAATAGACTCACCTCTTGAAAACTAAACTCATTGCTTGGAAATTGTTCTAACAGCTGCAAATTTGTGAACTTACTGCTCCAAAAATCCAATTGCTTGGCAAGTATATACATAAATCTTTTATCTGCCTGCTTAAATAAATAAAAATAAAATAAATCTATTTAATAAACAAAAAATTACCAAAACATTTCATAAAGACCATAACAGCCTTAGAGTTTGAGTTATTATATGGCAATCAAATCCTATAAATTGTAGTTTTGAACATTATTAAAAAGTTTTATGGACAAGCTGCATGTTAGGTGTAGTAGTATCCATAGTCCAGACTACAAATTAGCAAATCATGTGACTTTGTCAGTTTGTCAAAGTAAACATAGTCATTCTGAACAATTGTTAGTTGGTATGAATAAATTGGATTATTTTACTACCAAGGCTAAAATCTAACACAATGTAAAGGAAATAAATAAATAAAAATTTACCCTATTCCTATGTATATCATAATATAAGCCTAGAGCCCTAGACCAATATGAAATTTAAAACAGAATTTTCCAAAAAATAATGGTGAAATTTAAAAAATAATAATTTGCTTGGTTTTTAAAATGATGTTGGGATAAGTGAACTCATGGCATGAATTAACAATGGAAAGTAGATGCATACCTGTTGCCACTTGCCAGAAATACTCAACCTTCAAAGTTTAAAGGTAAAGATTTATTACAAAGATTAGTTGTAAAAATACATGTGATGAGATAGGTATTTAGCCGTTAACCCTCTGGTCTCTACTCGCGGATCGCCTAGTAGTCTAGTACTGTGGTGGTGGCCTGACATGAGTTACCACCTCTGGACTCTGGAGTAATATTGTCACAAGTTCACAACTCACAAGCAACAAGCAGCAAGTCTACTTCCCAAAAAGTTTACCTTCTAGTGAGCACTAAAGTACTTACACTGCTCAGTGCTCACTGATAGTTGCCACTTGCCACCATGTGAGATAACTTTAAAATGTTATTTCAAAATAATCATCTGGGCTGGGCCCAGCCTCATGAGCCTCCCCCCCCCACAGGGAAAAATGCTATCATTTGCCTTTTCAAAATTCAAATTGTCTGTGAAATAAGTGTTGTTTTGTGGAGTTTCAACAGAAATGTGAGAACTGGCAGTCTGGCACAGATAATCAGATATCAAGTGTGATAAGATTCTATGACTGATAATTGAATACTTGGAAGATACACAGCAAGCGGCTAACCAAGAACCAACGCAAAGCATATGATGCCCATCTTTGGCCAAGAAATACGAAGGCTATGCTCCAATATGATTGTAGGCTTGTACTAGCTTTGATTAATCTATAAATTGAAAATCCTAAACATAGAGTCCCAGATAACACACTGAGTGTGTTTGTCAGTTTTTTTTAGATGACACTATCATATTTCTGCTGGTTGTTGTTGTTTATTCAATTATTGAGGATGTGGGGTTGGCCCCCATGTTCCTCACGGCTCAAAATTTCTGCTGGTTAATCTTAATTATCTTGATTTATCTTTAAGCACCAGTCTTCTTGGACATAGGTGCTTTGTTCAGAGCAGGGTGTAATTTTTACTACAGCTGGTCAATGAAGCCAGCTTTGGACAGAAAGGTTACCAGTTTTTCTGCAGGGAACTCATCTCTAAGCAATGTTACAAGGGTGAAGGGCCATCCCATTTTTCTGCAATGCTGTTCCAGTTGCTGTCTTGAATGTTGTAGCTGAGGACATTCTAGTAGAAGATGAGTGGCAGTCCAAGTTTGGTTACAGGTAGGGCAGCAAGCTGGTTGTTGACCAGTGAAGAGGTATGTATGGGTAAGTTGTGTTGCTCCCAGGCGTAGATGAGATATTGGTACTTGGTGGGATCGCTTGATGAGCAGGTATGGGGCTTGGCCGAGGGAGTTTTTGTATGGTCGTAGTTTTGCAGAAGACTCTTCCCAATGTAGTTTCCACAGGGATTGGTAGTGGGATGTGAGTATGTGCTTGATTTCTTGGTCAGAGAAGGATGGTGTTACTTTTAGTGGCAGATTTAGAGCCTCCCGAGCGATTTGATCTGCTTTTTCATTTCCCTCGATGTTCAAGTGGGATGGTACCCAGACAAGGATAACTTTATTTGGTATAGTGGATAAGAGATAGATGATTTTAAGGACTAAAAAGTGAGACTTTGTGTGGGCATTCTGCAGTTGTTGATGTTCCCCGAGCCCCGGTCATGCCAGGAAGCCCGTGCCGTGCAGGAAAGCCACCACCCAAGCCGGCTCAGACCATAACTGCGCGATGGATGTTATGCCTGCCCGGAGCCTGGGTGCTGCCAGCTCCGGGCACTCCAGCAGAAGATGCTTGATGGTGTGGGGGAGTGCTTGACATTGGGGGCACAGGCCCATTTGAGTGCTGTCCAGGCAGTGTTTGTAAGAGTTTAGCAAGGGATGGTGACCGCAGCGGAGTCTGCTGAGGTGCACCCTGTCTGCATGGCTCAACTGCTGTTCTGTATGGCTGATGTCTGGTGGTATGTCATCAATGATGCTGTTGATTGGTAGATTTAAGAGTGCGTTCCAGGTTAGGTGTGTGTGTATGTGTTTAATGAAGGTGGCTGGGTCTGTGGGCGGAGGTATGGAATTAATTATTGTGAGATAGTAGTTGTATGGAGTGTTGGCAATATGTCTGGGTGTGGGGGGTATGTACTGAAAGTAATGGCAGGGACTGAGGGGATTGTGGAGTGCTGATGCAAGGAATTGGGCACCTCTCATCTCTAGGTGTCCTTTCATAGAGAGGAACTTTGGTTTCTGCATGGACGAGACTGGATGGTGTGGTTTGGGTGCTGCCAATTGTGATTCTGAGGGCTGTGTTATGTATGGTTTGTAGGTCTTTGTGAAGTGTGGGTGAAATTATGGGTGCCCAGGCTGGACTTGCATAGTCCAGCACTGAGTGTATGTATTGTTTGAACACTAGTGTGAGGGTTTCTTTGTTCCGTCCGAATGTTGTTCCTGTGAGGGCTCTGAGTGTGTTTAGCCAAGGTCTGCATTTTGTTTTGATGTCCTGTATGTGTGGCCCAAAAGACATAGAAGTGTTGTAAGTGACACCTAGGATCTTGGTTTCATGTGTGTGTGGTACGGTATGATGGTGTTGTTTAGAGTGACTGTGGGTCTGTGCTGATGCTCCTTTGTGTGGCTTGTTAGTAGTGTGCTTGTTGATTTGGTAGGGGCTACTTTGAGTCTGTTGCGTGCTAGCCAGCCCTCTAGTTGTGTAATGTAAGGTTGTACTTGTGTAGAGCAAGTGTTAGCATTGGTGTGTTGATGTAATTGTGATGTCGTCTGCATAAGACAAAATGTGAATGTTGTCTGGTGGGGCTGGAATGTCGTGCATGTAAAGGTTGAAAAGTGTTGGTGAGAGGACTGATCCTTGGGGTACTCTGTTTGGTATGTTTTTTGTGTGTGATGATATGCCATTGTAGTGAACGAATGACTGTCTGCCTGTTAAATAGTTGGCAAGCCAACGTTTGGTGTTGTTATGTAGTGCTGTTCTATAGATTTTGTCTGTGAGTGGAGTGCAGTGCTCTCAGAGAGCTGAGAGAATCCGAGGCCAGAAGATAGGATCCCTCCTTGTCTTTCAGGTACATCAAAGCATAGTAGAGGGCAGTAAGTTTGGCTGCAAAGATGGAATTTTCTCTGTTTAGTCTTGCCATTAGAGAGAATGTTTGTGACCAAACACTGGCTGCTGTTTGATTGGTGGTCTTTGAGCCATCACAGTAGACTGGTGAGTGGGATGGGTACTTGAGGAGGTCTGCAAAGCAAGCTCGCCAAGCTGTGGGTGGAAGGTCTTGCTTCTTAGATGAGTGGAGGGAGAAGTCAATTTTTGCAGTTGTAATGGGGAAGAGCATTTCTGGCTTTAGGCATGGTATAGAGGTGAGAGCTAAGTTTTGTACTCTAAATTCATTATAGGGATTTGGTAGGTTTCCATTCTAAAGGCTTTTTAATAAATATGGCAACATTTTGTGACGTTTCATCGTTGCTGACGCGTAGTGAAGTGTTTTGAGAGTCATGTGAAGGCAACAGAACTTACGTAACGCATACGGTTTTTTTTATAGCTTTTCATTTCTTGATGCGTCCTTAAAGTGTCAGAATATACCGCGTTTACCCTAGTTGCGGTCACATTAGAGCAGTCAGACTGCATTATCACATGTTCAGTTGACACTTGCTGTAAAATCAGACTGTTTTTAGGGTAAAATTAGTTATTTGGGGTAACACGTGCATGCAACTTTGTAAATAAGTTCGTGGGTTGTAAATAGTTTTTCATTACTCAGCATAAATGGCTTTTCATTAAAAATTACCGGCGACGCATCTTAAAATTACCCGGCGACGCTTAGGGCTTAAAAACCCATATATTGGCAATGCTGCATCCACAATCTGCAGTCTGCACCCTGCCGTGGAACTAAGAAAAAGCTTAATATAAAGGAAAAAAGTCTAGAAGTGTCAGAATTACCCACGATGTCTGAATATACCGCGTTATTGTAATTTGCAAACAAAAGTGCACAATCAGGACGCGGCCTGCAAGATTCCAATTGTATAAAAAATTTGTCACATTGGAGCCACAAGATTTCAGAAACAATTAGGAAAATTCCAATCCTGTAACAACTGTAAGTGTAAGTCATGACTGATTGACTGTGTAGGTATATGTAATATGTGTGTAATTATCATTATGCCTATGGATGTTAAAATCTACTTAGCCTATGTCCTAGTGTATAAAATTAAGAAAATGGAAATTGGAAAGTACTCCTCACAAAAATTTATTGACTAAAAAAAGTTTTGTTTGCTTGGATATGGTCATATGGGATAATGCCATAATGGGAATTCATATTGCTTTAAAAAGTTTCAAATATGCAGCATTGTAATATCCATTGATTAATAGCCCTATAGTAATGTTTGCAAATTATTTTTGCTGTTTTATAGTTAGTTAAGCAGAATAAGCACTGCCTGTTTTATTTTCCTAATACAATATGACTGCTGAAGGTACAGAACCCATGCAGAGAAAGTGCCAGGACTGCCAGTCTCTAGCCAGGGCCCAGGAGTTGATTTACTTGATTACTGTTGATATAAATATCATAAAATATGGAAGGTTGATACCTAGACATATTCTATTACTCCTCTTGTTCCTAATATTTCTGAATCCTTGG